GTTCCATATAGGAATCTTTTGTTCTACGACTTTTGGAAAAAGCCGCTACTTTAGCGGGAAAGAGCTAAAAATAGCTAAATTTCGTTAGTTTGTAAGTTCTTCACTACTAAAGGTACAGACATGTGCTATACCTCGTTTAAAAGGTATTTTGAAATACTTCAACGCCTTTTTAACTCAATTTGTTAAAATACAATAGTTTAAAAATTATGATTGACCAATTTAAATTTAAATGTATATATTAGCTCCTATGAGAGCAAAAGTAAACAAACAAAAACTTCTGATATCAAATAAAAACACCTCTTAACGAGGTAAAAAACTAGTGACGACCGCACCTTCAACATACAAAAGTTCTGATATCAACATTTGTGACGAAAAATTATTACACTCGTCATTAAATAGACTTTCTAATATTTTCTCATTCGGCACGCTGCAATAGAAAATGCCTGTGAAGGGAAAAAGGTTGGAATAGTTTGCTAGGGCGGGCCGAATGAGAAAATATTAGAAAGTCTATTTAATGACGAGTGTAATAATTTTTCGTCACAAATGTTGATATCAGAACTTTTGTATGTTGAAGGTGCGGTCGTCACTAGTTTTTTACCTCGTTAAGAGGTGTTTTTATTTGATCTGACACATTCGTAAAAATGTGCCTTTCAATTTGGTTAGCAGTAGGCGCCGAACATAGACAAATTATATTTTTAAGGGGTTAATATGCCTTAAAAAAAATCCCCACCACAATTTTAAGGCGACGCCACTGTTATCTTTAAAAAGCCTACTGTGTAAAATCACGACACACTCGTTACGTAAGAGTGACTCTAAAATACTTGTTACATTTCCCATTCTTACGGAAAAAATTCTATAAATTCCATTTTTCGAAGTACAATAGTGGGATTTATCTCAAAAATTCGGCAAAAGACGCCTCTACATGCATGTAAAATATTTTAGGGCACATATTTTTCCTTGTATTTTTTTAAGCCTGTTCACCGCATCAAGTTGGTTGTAAATAGAGGTGAACAAATTACTTCAATGGCTCTTAGGCTTTTATTAACTCAAATAATGATGGAACTTTAAATGCAATTATGTAGAAGGGCATCTAAGCAATTTTTTGGCATAGGTTTTATTACAACTGAGCACAGACCCTCGAAGATATCAAACCGCGATTGCACAAATACCACCCGTTAAACTCGAAAACTAAGTATGCAGATATGCTTATATCCGTCTGTATTAACACAATTTAATGCCCATAGGGCTGCACCAAAAACACTGTTGGCCTGTGTTATTAATCAATTTGGTGATTTAGTTAAGCAAAAAGGATTTAACCAAGAGCAGTGGCGGCGGCGAAACAACAAATAACTTCCGCGTGCAAACAAAATTATATCCGCTTTTCCCATTGTTAAGCCCTGCGAACCCACACCACACGAATCCAAAATCCCCACCCACAGGAACGCCAAGAAGAAAAAACACATTGTCATCATGGGGGAAAGCCAGGCGGTAAATGACAAAAGGGAAAAATATATTTCGGATATTACGGGTTTTTGGAATCGAAGCTCTCAATACTCTAACAAATAAAAGTTCTTGAATGAATAATAAATAAAATTAAATTATGCAACATAAATTAAAGTGATTTAAATTTTGAACTATTAACTCTGAAAGAGAATTGTCCAACATGTTTATAAAATCTGAAAACAAAAGGTTTTTGCCCCGGTTGTTATATGCACAAAGGCCATGCTATCGTCCAAAAAAGGGTATAAAAAAGAGGAAGGCACTGAAAACAATATGGCGTCACTTCCGGTCGCGTATTAACAGCAGGCAGCCCACATTGCATTGTCATGAAGCGTGCCGCACAGCTTAGTGGGTGTCATTGTGGTTGTTGGGTCCCATTGTCTGGGCGTCATCATCATTAACTGGTGGGCCGGACCGAGTGTTTTGATCGATATACTACACCTTGGACCAGGGGACCCCAGCAGTTCGGTTGAGAAATCATTTTAAATTTCACCAGCCCGTAGGCGTTCTGTGGCATCAAATTAGATTAATGACCGGGGTGGCACTGCAAAGTGGGGTGACCGCAGAGCGGGACAAAAACAAAAACCCCAAACCAATCTGAAGTGAACTGAACACTCATTATGCGCCGCACGAGTTCGATTTGATGCTCATTTACTTGTTTGTCTGCCCCATGATTTTTCTTTCAGCCGGGATTCCCTTTTTTTCTTCTACTTCTTTTTCTGGCTTTCTTCTTTTTACGCCCGCCCTGTTGTCTCCGACTCCTCGGCGCTCGCATCTCACCGCAATAATTGGAAAAGTTTTCATTTGAACGCCATCAACGACAGCGGCAACGGCAGCAACAAGAACAATGGGGCGTGTTACTACAACAAGAAAATTGCGGTTCCAGCAACAACATCTAGAGTAGCATCAGCATCAGGAGCAGGAACAACAACAACAGTAGCAGCATCGGCGGCAAAAAGTCATCAAAAGGCTACTAAAGGTTGACGCAGGCAATGGCCAGTGAGTGTTGTCCCCTACCCAATACTCCTTCTCCACCGCATCAGCATCAACACCATCCCTCAGCGTCACAAGCCCTTCCCTTTCACTGGCTACACTGGGAGAAAATTGTTAAAAAATTCTTTATTCTATCCAAATAAATTTGAAATAAGCTTACCATGCACATATCGATTTAACCGCGACGTGTTTCCTTTCACATTAATTTGTTCTTTTGAAAACAAAATTTGAAGACCATTTTAAAATATTTTTGTAATTTATTTGCGGAGAACTTTCTAGTTAAATTTAAATTCTCATAAATATCGTGATAATTTAGGTGTTTCCTAACAGTGCACGCCCATCTTCAACCAAGCCAACCCATTCTGTCCTGCAACTTTTTGCGGCCATTGCACGCCCTTATAGATTTGGCACGCAACGGACCACGAAAACGAAACGAAAACACTTTACAGGCAGGCAGCAAAAGCGAGAAGGAGACTGTTGAGAAAAGGACAGGGAGGGAGTCTGCAGACGGAGTTCAGGGACCGATCATTACGTCCTGATGATGCGGCTGCATTTCCCGATGCACTGCCATACGTTCGTAAAAATAGTTTTACAGCTTTATGACCCCTCCGTTTGTTAATTTATAATTTCAAGATTTTAAAGGCAAGACTTCTGTTTAAAATAAATAAAAATTGATTATAATAATACGATATTAGGTATGATTTAATAATTTTTGTTAACTCTATATCATAAATCGTTTGCAGGAACATTGCGCATTCGCCTAGTTGGCAGCCCATTTCGCAGACCGTCCAGGCATTGCAGTTTGCCTACAATGATTCAAGTTTTCATTATCAAGCCTGGCACCTCTCACTCTTCACCGGCCAAGTTTGCCAGCTGCCGTTGACCACCTCCCAAACTTTTCCCTTGCCCTTGCCCGATTTTCCATTTCCCCCACCTTTGAAGCCAACGTGAGCATGGAAAGGCACAGAAGCAGCAGCAGCAGCAGCAGTTAAATGTGAAAAGTTCCATTTCGTGTGGATTACGTCGTTTATCCTGGCAAACAGGCAGAGAGACACACACACTCGCACCCGCACAAACAAAAACACCCACACAGAGGCTGAAACACTTGCACAGGATAATCATCCAGGCAGGGAACCGCTTTCGATCGCTCGCTGGGCAAATGCATTTTCGACGCGCTTCAAATGCGCCGCCAACCAATCCGCTCCCTCTCCCCTTCACTTCCCTTCCCTACGAAAGGAAAACCAATGAAAATGTTTGCCCCGCTCACAATGCACTTGGCTTTCAGGACGCCAGCAGGACTCCAATCGTGGGCGTGGAAGTGGGCGTGTGCGTGAGGGAGTGGAATTTTTGGGTAGGAAGTGAGTTGCCAGAATTTGTTATAGCAAATGCTAATGAAAAGTTCCTCGTTACCAGTGGCTGTCTCTGTGGCTGCGGTTTTGGGATTCGGCATTAGTTTTTCGGCTTCGTTTTTGGTTGCCAACTGAAGAAAATACGTTAAGCTTCCGCTTTGAAATTTTAACTCATTGCTAATTTTAAACAGACTGCAATGATTGTGTGAAAGGGATCAGGGAATCATATTAAATGTCTATCCTGAAGCGAACATATACTACGTTTATGCTATGAGAATCATGATTTCTTAAAAGCACCATATAAAAATCAACCTGTTTAGGAAATTAATTAGGACTGTGCCTCGCCAACTCATTTATTGAGGCTTAAATCATAGTCAACTTTCGTGTGTTTTCCAAATTACACGGCTGAAACCACGAAATGAAAGCGTGATATCGTCATCACATGAAACTGAACTCTATAATAATATTTATTTTTAATCTGAATTAAAATAGCAACGTCTAATAGATAACTCGGCTATAGATGCTCACCATAGCGACCTTTCGGGCGAATCGTTAATAGTAATCACTTATACCCGAATCTTTATGAAGCTCACTTGAGAACGTCGGAATTCTCTCAGACCGAACCCAAAAATATTTTGTTATTGCATCTCTAGAATTCGTGGACAAGATAAGGCAATTATAAAGTCTGTGCAATGGAATCAGCTATTGGTCAGTATCTCTCTAAGCCTCAACGGCTCAACATGTTTTATATTTTAATCGTTCTATTTGCGTTTCTTGTGGCAATTTTAGCCCATCCTGGTAATTAGAGACAGGGATATTACAAACTAAGAGTGAAACCAAGACTTTTAACAAATAAATTGTTCCTCCAAAAAGTGCGTTGAAATGCTAAAATGGTTGAGTTATTTATAACCAACTTTGACCTTGAGTTCGCAAAAATCCTCGTATTTGTGTTAAAACATTTCGAAATAATAGAAAATATTTTATAAATTAACAAATATTTGGTTTACACAAATTAAAAACTGGAAAGTGATTACCTAACATTTTTTTTTATTTCTTTAAATATAATCCCTAACAGGCTTTCACACTTGCCAACCTGATGAGAAATGCACCCGAATCGACCTGTGCTCATCTCTTTTTCCGTTTTTTCTGCCCAGCGGAATGACGACAGCCGATGAGCATTTATTTAAGGACGGACAGTGCAATTATGATGGGTCTGGCGACAAGCCCTTACTGGAGAGGGTCTACATCTGCTGCCCGATGCAAGGTGACGTTCTGCCAAACAGCACGATTTGCGGTCAAAGCAGTGGCGCTTTGCGAATTGTTGGTGGCAAAGAGGCGGCTCTCAACGAATTCCCCTGGATGGCAATGCTACTCTACAGAAATGGCGCAAAATGGAGGCATTTCTGTGCCGGTTCCCTGATCAACAACCGATACGTCCTGACTGCAGCCCATTGTGTGATCGACGAGAGTTTACAAAGAAATGGCTTCGTGCTGCAAGGCGTGCGCCTGGGCGAGCATAATATCCGGACCAATCCGGACTGCCAAGATACAAATGGGAAACGTCGTTGTGCCTTACCACATCTGGATATCGGCGTGGAAAACTCAATCGTGCATAACAATTATAACGTCGTCGATGGAAAGTACTATAACGACATAGCCCTGTTGCGTCTTCAAAAGCCAGTACGGTGAGAGGTGGTATCACCCATTTTGATTTTTAATATCAATCTATCTTTCTACCCCTTTAGCTATACCAGGGCGATCCAACCCATTTGCGTTCTGCCCGGCGCCAGTCTTACGACTCACTACTTTTCAAACTACCCCCTGCAAATAGCCGGATGGGGCGTTACAGGAGGATCGGATCCGAATTATATACTCTCGCAGGCCAAAATCAAGGGAAGAAACTCATATGAGTGCTCACGGCGCTACCCCATTTTGGGGATCAACACGACAGTTCAGTTATGTGCCGGTGGGCAGGATGGATCGGACACATGTACGGGGGACTCTGGCAGCCCGCTCATGGCATCCATGGAACGCGGTGACGAAGAATTCGTGTATTTAGCAGGCATTACTTCCTATGGAGGAAGCAGCCCGTGTGGAGCAGCAGCTATTTACACAAGGACTGAAAAATTCATTGAATGGATACAGTTGCAAATACAGCCTTGAAAGCCTGTTTATAAAACCACAAACCTATACTTTAATATAATTAACAAACAAACTTTGGTGTTTTCGGAATTGATCTATCCCTATCCTATAAAAATGTGCAAAATTCGAGGTCCAATAATTATATAATGCCGTCCATAGTGATTAAAATAATATAATATAATAATATAATATAATAATATAATATAATAATATAATATATAATAATATAACTTATTATATACAATTTAGACCAATGATGCTGATGAGATTCAGATATTCAGATTCAGATATTATTGTTTATATCTCTTACTTTTTGAGACGTATAATTTAAGATTTTTTAATTTAAGATTCGGATTTCTAATTCAAGGAAAATAATTTGACTATCAGTGTCACTCATTGTATCAGCTTGATTAATAAAACAAATTTATGGCAATTAATAAAAATTAGAATATCAGATTACCATTAGTTTCTTAAACAATTTACTAATAAATATGCCATCCTACCACATGCCCTTTAAATTTGTAAAATTAAAATGATCTAAGACCAAAAGTAATCTTTTTTTTTACTACCCTAGAGAGTCTACAGTACAGACTCTTATCTCTTCTTTTCACTGGGTGTATACAAAATAAATCTTGGCCCACGCTCGAATAACTTTTTAACGATCTTATTTTTCTCACCTTTAACTTTGTATAATTGTAATTATATTATTATTTTACTTTATTTTTAATGCAATTCCGAGTAAAACAAATAAAAATAGTTGAACCAATCGAAATGCAAATGGTTCGGGGGGACCTGATCATAAAGTGAGAGACAATCGTTATTTCCTTGAGCTTTTGTTCAGCCTGCCCAAAGGAGGAAAACAATTGCCCAAAGAGGTTTTAATCAGCCGAATCAGAGCCTTTGTGGCATTCTCTCTGCAATATCCTGCTGGCTTCGACCGAAAATCAAATGGAAGCCGAGACCACACAAGTAACACTACCCTTTCTTCACAATGCCCCATTCGAATGAATTCCCTTCCAACTCATTTGTTTCCACTCGCTACCGCTGCCAGTTATCTTTCAGCACTCAACATCTACTTATACTACTGGCACCACCTACACATCCACGTCCACTTCCACGTCCGGTGGTACTGGCACACATTGCTGGAAATGTTGTACCAATAAGCCAGCCCGAATCCTGAATGAGAATGAGAAGTTCTGAATGGTCGGGGTTGGGGGAATGGCGAGGTGATTCAGCTGTGGGAGGAAGCTGGAGCTCCGGTAGATTTGCTTACAGCTGCAATGCCATGCAATTTAGTTGAATTACCAAGTGAAACAATGGCGTCTGTTAATTGGTTTCCTTTGTCCTCGGCCCTCGGTAATGGGGTTGCATCCGCTTTGGACCCAAATCCTGTCCCCGATCTCTCCCCGGCATCATCTCCGCATCTCCGGCTGCCCTTGGGCTATGGCTGTGGCTGTGGCTGTAGCTGTGGCTGCTGTTTGCCAATTGCTAGAAGAATTTAAAATTGTCTTTGCCGAGGCAAATTTATTAAACAAACAAAAAAGCCAAAGTCAAGAACTTTCGGACGGAGAACGGAGATGGAAGCGGTGGGAAAGTGGCAGTGGATCTCGAGCCTCGAAGCTAGTGAAGTGCAGCCATGAAAATTTGCATTTCGCACTAACTAACCTAAGGACAGGAGCATCGAGGATGGAACATGGACCATGGGCGACAGATGGCAGCTCGACCAGTGCTAATGAATGCCAAGTCTCAGCTGCCTTCGAATGCACTCAGACGATAATCTTCCTTTCAGAGTTTGAAAATAATTTTTAATTTTCATATGAAAGCTTGATAATAAAAATGTTATTAAATTCTAAAACAAGAAGTTCAATGCAGTGTTTTAAAAGGTTGAGAACTGTGAAAAATAGATTCCGACGAACTATATAAAAATAAAAACTTGTAGACAATGTCCAATTTAAATTTAAAATGTTAAAATCGAGTAATTATTTTATCGTTAAAACAACAGTACCTTTATTAAGTTTAAAATAAATTATTTAAAATATGTTATTTTTTGCAGTGTGCTCTTATTGTGGTCCCTACCTTGGTGTCATTTTCTCCAGACTTATCCGAATGTGTTTTGGACCAGCTTGCTTATCTTTATGACGGCGCATAACTAAATGGCCAATCAGTGGCGCTGCAGCTGACAAATGATTGTCTTGGCCGGTCTTCACTGTCTCCCTTGAATTCTTCTCAGCCATTTTTGGTGTTGGGTTTTTTGGAATTAAACTTCAAAGTTCATCAGGAATTAGTTTTTTGTTTAGATTGTTCCTCAAGCTGCAGTATATTTTATGGTTCTAAAACTTCTTCGGATAACACTTTTGTTAAAACTAACATTGAAATATTTAAACCAATGGGTTCCCATAACCGTTTAGGATATAGTCACAGTAACATAAAAAACCGGATAAAACCTGACAAGCCTAAGAAGTCTAAGCATTATAAACAACATTTAAAATTCTCTAAGAAACTAAATCTAAATCTATCACCAAATCCGACGAGGCCATATCAATATTGCAATTGATTTTAACAGTTGTTAAAAGCACACAACGCTGAATGGCAAAGTGAAAACCCCCGCATTTCCATTGTAAAAGTTTTCCCTGGCTGGAAATATTTGCATACACTCGCGCAGAAAGAGGAACGAAGAGCGAAGCGTAGAAGCCGAAAACTTTTGGCTTTTGTGGCAGGCTCGACTCCTTTACTTCTTTCCTCTTTTTTTGTGGGTCTCGGCTTTTAGCTTGGCTATAAGTCAATAAGCGAGTGTTGAGCTGCAAAGCGGCGCAACTTTTGGCCGTTTGAAAAATGAACTCAACAGTCGGGGCAGCTGACTGTCGTCATAATTTGTCTGGCAAGTTCGGTTCGGCTGGCATTGATGACAGGCAGGCAGCAGGGCTCACACACTAAATCAATTATGATTAAAGCTCATTACACTTGCAGCACACGACTTGGGGGTCCGCGGCAGCCACAAACTTGTGCGGAAATTGCAAGGGGGTCTTCTCGATTTGGGTTAGGGTTTGGGGTTTTCTCGGTCTGGGGTTTGCGTTGGGTTCTCCGGGGGTGTCGGGGGTGTGGCGGGGATATTGTGTGTGGTTGCGCCCTGCGATGACAATGATTTGCATTGCCATCGACTGCTCGAGCGCTCACTAATGCATGCGCCATGTCACTAATTTTCAATGCCCCGACCAGCCACACAAAGGCGGCGGGTGGAAAGGGGGCGGTGATGCTGGAGATTCGGTTTATAATTGAGAGAATAATTAGATGAGTGTCATGGGTTTCGGGGCTAGTGCCTATAATAGTCCTATGTCCAATCAATTGGTGCAGTGCGCTCTGAAGTCAGGAAGGAATGCGTGAACACTTAAGTTAAGACATCATTCGTTTAAGTCTGAGTATTTATTTTAGCTTAGTTAAACCACTGTTTTTATTACACCCAGAAAAAAATCCGTTCGAAACGTTCAAAAATCAAGCCCAAACGGGGTCAAAAAGTGCGTAAGCCCGTTTGTTGTCAGTTCATGAACGCTTGTTCATAAAATTTGACCGAAATATTTGGCATGTTTTGCGAACGAATGGGGTCAGTTTTAGAACATTTTGGGGTTAATTTGAGAACAAAAAGTTCATAAAAAAACAAAAATAAACAAGATTTCTCTACTTGCCACTTGCTGTTTTTACTGTGCGCCTGGTAGAGATGTATTTAATATTCTTTTTTTTAGTGGTTGAATTATTTTTAATACATGTTATATTTTAGAATTTGTTGTTGTCATATAGTTTATTTATTATTAGAAGTACATATTAACATTAGAAATAATATTTTATTAAAACTTACGATTCACGACGTCCTCTCGCGGACTCGAACCTGGGCTACTCTATGTCAAAGGCAGACGGTCTAACAGCTGGACCACGGAACCAATTTTTCAAGTACGGACAAACGGGGCACTAGACTTGCATGTTTTTCGGTCCGGGAAAGAAATAGTTTATGAACAGCGTTCGCAATTTCAGAACCATTGTTCATAATCTGACCACAATCGTTCAAAGCTCAACACTTTTCTGTGACGCGTTCATAATTTTACCAATAAGTTCATGATTTGACCCCGCGGCGTTCGTTTTTCATGAACGAAAAATAGCGAACGGATTGTTCGTAAATCAAGAAAAATGTTCTTGATTTTTTTCGTTCTTTTTTTTCTGGGTGTACTTAAAACAATTACAGTTTGACGTTTTGCTAAAGAACTCGCGTTTTCTTTTTTTACAGTTTCATAACCACTTAATTTATTTTTAGTTTTAATTATTAATAATAATTCTAAAAAGTTTTAAACTAATTTTCCCTTAAAACTAATTAACAATCAGTGTAATGCATCTATAACCAAATCTGTTGTAAATTTAAAAAAAATTTGCTTAGCCAACAACCACTGCACGAAACAAAACAAATTGCTAGGCCGAAGACTAAGGCAAAGATAAAAGTCTATCGAAGTTAATGACGGCGTCAGCTTTCTTTAGAATCAACTTTGCCTGACTGGCAAATGCGTTGTCTAAGATGGGGGACATTCTGTATTATTTAGCTTGCGTTTATTTCTCATTCAATATTTGTTTTGTGTGTTGAAAGACACACACAATGGCACACCACACACACACGCTGACATGGCACAGAGATATAGCATTACAAGGGTGTGAGTGTTTCGCTTCATATAGCGACCGTCTTACTCTGTATATAAATGCCTACTTATAACGACATTTAATTTCAGAGCACGCACGCATAGGACGAGCCTGCAATATTGAATATTGGAGCGACTTCCACGGATACTCACTCACCAGACAGGGTCGCAGTTGGGTTGGAAAAAAGGGGCTGGATTTACGGTGAGTTCCAGTTGAGTGATTTAAAGGTAACCTTTTAAAGGTTTTCTTTAAAAACATAACCTTTAAAATTTACTTTATATCCATTTCATAAAATCAGGTAATTTTAATGGAATTTATTCTTAATTAATTTTTTAAATATTATTCTT